AGGAGAATGATTGCATAATGCTTAATAACTGCGAGCTTAATAACGATCCATGTTTAGATCACCATGGACTGAATTCTGTAGAAAACCCCACTCACCCCCAAAAACTCTGAGTGGCTGTGCTTGCGCAGCGCTTAGCCACAAACTGCTGCTTTCCCGACACGTTGCAAGAACAATAGTATTGCTTGGTTACAACGCTCTGCAGATCGTCTTTGGCACATGCTCAGCTTTAACTGATGACAACTAAAAGATTTTTCCTCTACGGACAGGAAGACAAATCCTGCATCTGCCATAGCTCACCATTTTCTTAGCTTTAACTATTGATTAGTTTTAAGCAGAACAATTGTCATCACCAACATTTTCCTGCTCAAACTGCACTACAGAGCAATTTTCAAGAATTCAATTTACCGCTTCAGTTACCTTACACCGACGCAGCACTGTTAATACCAGTTTTCCCCATGTAGACTTCAGCAGAGTGGGAGGATTGTTCTGGGAAACAGCAAGCAGATGCTGAATACTACCCCCTCAGATCATTTTGTCTGATTATAATTCCCATTGAGGTGCAGTAGAGATCCTGTGCCTGAAATACAGGTGATGGGAGCTTGTCAGGGTTGTAAAACATAACAAACACTGGACTTTCAAGCCCCGTAAAACAGGCGGCCACCCAAGCTGGCAGTTGAGCAGCGCCCTTACACAGGGACAGAGTAACTAAACATTTTGCGCCTGTTGGAAGACAGAATCGTGCACTTGCTTGTTGTACACCTTTATTGAAAACAACAAATACACAACCCAGCACATCTCGCTGGGCAGTCTCCGGGTACAAGAAATGGTATTTCATGGGTAGTCCTGCCTCAGAACAGAGCACGGCCCAACCACCCCCAGCCCGCGTCCTCGCCAGGGCAGCAGCCACAGCTCCCAGTTCCGACCTTGGCAGCGCAGAGAGCTCTGCATCTCATTCCCTCTCTATTCCTTCCCTTTATCAGCTAATTTCAGCAAAACCAGGAACACGCTCAGACCTCCTACACATCCTCTGCAAACCATCAACCCAATTAACAGTTACATTCTGCTTTGCCAAGGAATTTGGGTTCGTGGAGAGGCAGAAGAGACCAGTACAGTTCTGCTGGCATTCCCGAGACAGCCATAATACAGTTACATTAACCGTGGCAGCTGTGTCTGTGCTCGTGTTTACAGTTCTTTGCTCAACTCCTTCTCCAAGGCACCTGAAGGAAGCAAAGCACACACGCCCAGCTTTAATTTCATGGAGAGAGCTTTCTCACAGGGCGAAAGCTGAGACGGTGCCTGTACTGTGCAGGGGACCTGGCAACAAACATTTGCTGTGCACGAAGTTCAGCGTAAGGACAAAGATTTGGAATTGTCTTTTTTAATCCTCAAATAAGATGGGTAAACAAGCTTTGTTAATGCCTCCTTTGTTGACTGAGCAGTTTCACACCTGCAGGACCCATCATTCAGCGAGCCAGAAGAAGAAGAAAAGAAGGAATGAGAAGAGGCGGACTGGCCCCCACCACCTCGCTGGAGGAAGCCCCAGGCAGGGGAGCTCAGGGCCCGGAGAGCACCAGGCTCACGCCAGCCTGCCTCCATCACATACATGCTGTCCTTCAAACCAGCCCCGGCTCTGGTGGACAGAGAGCTGCAGGAAGGATCTGCAGGACGACAGACCAGTAAAACCGATACCTGTGCTGGGCACACTGACACTGTTCTAAGCTTGTAATTAATGGAGAAGTGGGAAGACTTTGCTGTGGCTTCTGTAAATGCATCTCAAGCACCTTGAGATCTTTGAGGGAGCCAGCACGCACGCAGAAAAGGGACAGCTGTTTGGCAGAGGCTACTTGGGTTTCCACAAGGCATTGGACAAGGCTCTTAACAGCTCTCAGAAGCCCTGGAACAAGACCGAAGGTCTCCTCCGGGCAGTTAATCGGTTAAAAGGAAACAGCAGCAACAACAACAACAAGGCTCTGTAACAAATGGAGATTGATGGGCAGTTTTCCCAACGGTAAACAGCAAAGGGACAAGGTCTGATGATGGCAAAAAAGTTATTTAGAGCAGCCAAAATGCAACTGAATGTAGAGAGCGCCAGGAAAATGGTATTTAAAAAAAAAAAGTATGTCAAAATCCAGGTGAAAGTGAAGCCTATGGAGAAAACAGACACATTTCCACCATCACACCGGGTATTGATACACCAGCCCCGTTCCTTGGGCTAACCCAATGCTCCTGGAATCAAACCAGCTGACCTTGGTAGCGGACCCTACCCTTCCCTGAACTAGCCCGACTCAGGAATATGGTGCTTTAGCCAACACATGCCTTCCGGCTTTAAAACTTCCCATTGACAGAGAATCCACTAGAAGCCTCACTAAAGTGTTTTCATGGTTAATGACTTAGGGATAAATGTGAAAAAGTACCTATTTCCAGTTTGAACTTCTCCAGCTTTAACTAGTGACCTTTTTTAGACCACCATCCTCTAGATCAAAAAGGCCTCTGATAAAGTTTCTATTCCACATGCAAGTACCTCCATGCTACAATTCTGTAACCTTCCCTTTGATAAGCTAGATTGGGCTCAAGTCTCTCACCATAATGTTTTCCAAGCTTTTAATCATTTACATGGCATTTCTCTGGATTTTTAAAAGCCAAAGGCATAGTCATAGCATTCATCCCCTGCAGCGACAGTGACAAACACAGACAAGCCTTCCCCCTAATGCCCGAGAGGAATGCGCTGGACCTTTACCCTGCAGCGTCACATTCTGCCACTTCCCTGGTGTGATGCTGCAGCCCAACATCCAGTGTTCCTGCCCGGTTTGCTTTCCCATACACAACCTTGCATCCATCTTACCAGCAACCCAGCCCGCTCCACGGTGGTGGCTCACCCCCCATGTGAGGCAGCCATCGCCAAGCTTGCTGGTTTCCCAGGGAGCGTCTGTCTCCTTCCAGGTCACTGCTGAGTCTTAAACAAGCATGGATTGCTCTTTGGGGTGAATTTGAAACACATTCACTGACTGACTATTGCCCTTCCACTGTTAAATCCAAACTTTCAGTTTTCAATTTGTCCTTGTGGACTGTTATATTGCCTGATCTAACAAAACCAATATATCTTGCAGCATCAGTTCAAATGGCTTGCAGAAGCCTAAGCAGCACATCAGTGTATTATCAGCAAATCTGGAATATAAAAATGTCATGTTGGACTGATAAGATCTATTTTCCATAAACTTACATTGACTGACCCATTGCTGAGTTTAAGACCTATATTAATATATGACTATATGGCCTGTCACCTTTATCGTTTAAAATGTAGCTAAGTAGAATTTCCCAGTTCTTTCCTACTGGATTTTCCTTGGCTCAGATTTCTACTCTTCTGCTAGGCTCTTGTTAGGACAGAATAAACAGAAACCAGGCCACCAAAGCAGCCAGGGCAGAATGAGGGACAGATGCAGCTTGCAATAGGATATCCAAGAGCCACTTCAGCAATGGTGAACTCTACGTTTCCCTGGCCAGATAATTCACCTTAAGAGACAAAACAATTGATAGCAGTGAAAAAAGTCCTGTGGGAAGACAGACCTCTACGGGGACTTCTGTTGCACCTCTGCCAAACCAGTGCGTGCTGAAACATGAGATGCTGCTGCTGCCAGCAACTGGCCCGTGCCCACTGGAGGAGTAGAGGCAGTAATGCAGCCCGGGCAGTGCTCTCCATTCCCAGTGACTACGCCATTCCTTGGCCTTTGTTTTTAAAAAGGCAGAGTGTAATTCCACATCCAAGGAACTCCTCTACATGACCTTCTGGGGAACATAGTTGTTTCATGGAAGAGAGAAGAAAAACCACAACCAACAGGAGGTTTTCATGAACAGGACCCCTGTATATCATTCCCCTTTTTGCTGCAATTCAAAAAGATGATCAGCTTTGCTGTAACATTTGAATTAGGAGCCAGTGTCAGAACAGTGTTGTACAGCACTGCTGAAGGACACCGGACACCACAACATGAGTTCCCTTTATTTAGCAGATCCCAAAGCCACAGATAAATGTGCTGGAAGAGCTGGAAGGATTCATGCCTCAGTGCATGAAGCATACCTTACATTGTCTCTGAGCCGTTGGAGGCCAACTACATGATACACAAAAACAGGAGAGAAATATCCTCTTCTATTCCAAGACAAAAACAGCATTATGCACAAATCCCAAATGGTTTTCTTTTTCCTTTTCATTTAGGGAGAAAAGAGTGGATTTATGTGGTGTCCCATCCCCCCCCCCCCCCCCCCCGGGTCCCCTTTT